TCATAATGATCCTCATGCTAGGCACTCAGATGATAATGGACAAAATCATCTAGAAGGACAGATGAACTTCAATGCAGATTCTAGCCAACATAAAGGTATGGTTCACTTTATTAAGGAGTAAACAGAAACAGTATTTTTCAGTCTGTGTGTTATAAGAATTGGAAAAAGCTATTTATGTGAATTTTGTTGTACACAATATTTTTGATGAAAATGAGCTTAATTCCCAATATTTAATGACAGCTCTTGGTTTGCCTCAGGAAGGAAATTGCTAAAACCCAGATTTATTTAGGGAGTAAGATAATTAATTTTGAATTTATTTTTAAGTAGAGACAGTTCAGAAACTGTAATTCCAGGAAAGGCAAAACTTTTCAGATTAGATTTTTTTTGAAAATATTTATTCAGTCTGATTTTGTTGTCATGGTTTATATCTGTGTCTTTAGTGTTTTTGCTATTGTCTTGTTTTGGTCTTAGTTTTTGCTTAGTCTTGTTCTAGAGAAACTCAAGAGGTATATATAAATCTCAATTTATATTTTTTCAACGTACATTTTTATCAGTAACTAACATAACTAATCTTTTCACCTTTTAAGAGGCATAAAAATCTAGGGAGGTAGAAACTAAGGATATGTTATAATGACTTCATTTTCTCTTGGTTTCCTACCTCTAACCAGATGTTCTCAATTGTGTCCCCTGCGTGCCAACATTTAAATGTTGGTTTTCTCCAAGTTTCTGTCCTTTAGCTGATTCTTTGCTTATGTGATATCATCAATTCTCATCATTTTAATTTCCATCTATTCTTTACTGTCTTTATCTTAGCCCAGTTCCAAACACTGTGAAAAAACATTAACATAATTCAAAGATCTCTGCAAATGTGATTTATTTGACAGTAAAGAATACAGCAGCTTGGAAACAATTGGAATTCTGAGTTGCAGAGGGTCCCTCCGTTAGGAATTGTTTCTTTTATCTTTTTGGTAGTAAATACCAAGCAGAGGCTGAGGGATGAAGTGTACCACATCCTGGTTGAGTTATATGAACTAGCAAGCACATGCATCCTATTACAAATTATGTCATGTTGTATAAACGTTTATATAACTGATTCAGCTCTGAGTAGGTGCTCTGTGTACTTATCATAGAGCAGTTTGATCACTGGACACTTGCTCTATAGCCTTGCTCTGGATTGTTAAAGGATTGGCACCATGCTTCTCTACTAGTAGGGTGTGTCAGGTCAGCGTAGGAACATATATTAGGTCCCTACTTGTCCTGCGTGATGGTCCACATCTGTTTCAGCTAGAAACTATGAAGTCATGGTAGGTGTTTTCCTTCACTTACCAATCAATCCCATTTGTCATAAGTTCCAGCATTCTGCCTCTTTACCATTTTTCAGATTTCTTCTCAGTTCATTTCCCCTAGTTCAGGCCTTCACTTATACCCATGTACCTGCACTCAAACAAACTTCACTATACCTTTTGTCCTTTCTTATTGTGTAAAATGTAAAATGAGCTTCTGCTCATTTAAGGACCTATTTTCTGCATCATCTCTGTTCTCCCTGATTTGGCTTTATCTCCCCTTCTCTGTTCCAGCCAAGTTCCCATTCCATTGCTCTATAGGACTTATCAGCCACTGCTTTCTTTTTCCGCAGCACATTAAACCCTTTTCCATACCTCTATTATAGCATGCCAAGGTCCACTACAAAACTGAGTTCTTCTGTAGCAGGACATGTGTCATGCTCATCTTTTCATCTCCTGAGCCAGCACATGCCTACAAAGTAATTAATGAAGGAATAATTACAAAATGAGAAAGAATATCTACCAGATCCCAGCAGTGGGGAGAAGGTTGTCTTATCCAAAGTGAAACATTGAGAATTCCTGCATCTACCATTTTCCCTCTGCATCCAGTATTTAGTTTATCTATAGCCAGGAGATTGGGCTCCTCAAGTACATGAAATGTGAATGCTCTCTGACTGAAGGGTGATTCTGTCTGTTTTTGAATTGTGAATTATTGATTTTCAGAAGGACATGAGAATATTTTCGAAAATTCCATGCCCAACCACACGCAACCATCAGTTAACTAGAAATTTATGCCTCCAGTTGCTAACTTTTCACAGGACTAAGTTTTTGTAACTCACTGGTTGACCTTAATTTTAAGGATCTGCTTCCTTAGGATTTTGCCTACAGCATTACTACAAAAAGTATGGTTTTGCAGACTCATGCTGATCCACAACTACATAAGTATTGAAACTGGGACTACACAGAAACTTTCAGGGTAATTTAACAGAGTAATTTTGTCTAAATCAAAACATAAGAATTAGGATTTGTATTTTATATTTCTTTTTTTAGTTTTATTTTTCTAGTAATTCATTTTTAGCATATTTATAAAAGTATAGGTCTCTGACTATTAGAAATAAAAATTGATCCTTCACCAAGCACTGATCTAGAATCTTAAAATTGGACTCTTCCTTTAAACCAGTGATGCTCAATATGTGATCCTGGCCTGATGGTCTGAATTGTTTACCAGTCTGCACCCAGATAAGGAGCTTGCACCAGGATGTAACTCATTTAAGCTTACTGCTTTGTTAAGTGGACTTTTTTTGGAGGAAGAAGTAATATGTGCTTTATATTCTGGCATGGCTACCTATTTCTTTACAAAGGAGTACTTTGAAAAACACTGCTCTAGACAATCTTGGAAATACTATTGCTACCTGTTCTGTTTCTGACTGATGGATTTGCATTTTGGAATGAAATATGTTACTATCAAAAGTAACCTCAATGCTGCATTAACTCTTCTTCTTCAAACTGGGGTAGTCATGAGAGCCTTTTTTAAAGCCACCTAAAGATACTTGTATAAATTCATAATAGTGAATCTTGTGGACTCCAAAATGAATTGTTATTTTCAGCAGCATGTCTTTCCTGTCCTTCAGAAGTTTATTTAGAGGTGCAAGAAATTCCTGTCAGTGTTCTGTTGAGAACTAGTTGAAGCTTTCTTTGTAGAATGAAGTGAAAAGCAGATACTGTCTAAGACCATGCTTTATATGTATACCAATTTCCAGGAGAACTTGTTAAAATGCAAATTCAAATCGAGTAGGTCTGGGGTGGGGCCTGAGATGTTGCATTTCTAACAAGCTCCCAAGTGATGCTGATGATGTTTGGTCAACGAACCACAGTTCAAATAGTAAGAATTTAAGTCATGGTGGAAATTCTTGTTAACTGCAATGGATCTCCTGGATAAGACTGACATGAAACCAATAAATCAGAATGTCAGTTCATATAAGGTTGAGTTTTGCTTCCTTTCAGCTAAATTACTGATGGTAGAAAGGTAAATAGAAGGGGGTTTTTGAAATTGTTTAAGAAAATTTTTCTTCAATATAATTTATTTGAATTTTACATCTATGTGAATATAACTCTAAAAATTTTTTGTTTAATAGATGAGAACACAGACATCGCTGAAAACCTCTATCAAAAGGTTAAAATTCTTTGCTGGGTTATGACAGGGCCTCAAAATCTAGAGAAAAAGGCCAAACATGTCAAAGCTACATGGGCCCAGCGTTGTAATAAAGTGTTGTTTATGAGTTCAGAAGAAAATAAAGACTTCCCTGCTGTGGGATTAAAAACCAGAGAAGGCAGAGACCAACTATACTGGAAAACAATTAAAGCTTTTCAGTATGTTCATGATCATTATTTAGAAGATGCTGATTGGTTTATGAAAGCAGATGATGATACATATGTTATACTGGATAATTTGAGATGGCTACTCTCAAAATACAACCCTGAAGAACCCATTTACTTTGGGAGAAGATTTAAGCCCTATGTAAAGCAGGGCTACATGAGTGGAGGAGCAGGATATGTACTGAGCAAAGAAGCCTTGAAGAGATTTGTTGATGCATTTAAAACAGACAAATGTACACATAGTTCCTCCATCGAAGACTTAGCATTGGGCAAATGCATGGAAATTATAAATGTAGAAGCGGGAGATTCCAGAGATACCGTTGGAAAAGAAACTTTTCATCCGTTTGTACCAGAACACCACTTAATCAAGGGTTATCTACCTAGAACCTTTTGGTATTGGAATTATAACTATTATCCTCCTGTAGAGGTAAGTTCAAAAATTTTATTACTGTATAAATACTTTGACTTTTGTTTACTTAAAAAAAAAACTAGCAAATAATGTGTTTCTTTGGCACGAATAACTAAGAATCTCCTTTACTCCTTTTATATAGAGTGGCAATGTATAACAAAATAGATGAGAACATGAGTGTCAGCACTAGTAACTCAGTAAATATTGCTACTGTTACCTACTATTTATTGCCTATGTCACGCACTAAAAACATAGCAGTAAATATGGCCAAGTTCCAGTTCTTGTAAACCTTATAACAGTATATTATGAACCTACATTCTGGATACAGAGACATACAGTAAACAGGCAGACTAGTAAAGATAAAATATGATTTTAGGTAGTGGTAAGTGCCCTAAGGTAAAATAAAGCCAAGTGAGGGGATAGAGAATGACCCAGAGTGGAGCGGGGCACCCTAGTTTGGGTGATCAAAGAAGGTGTCTCTAAGAGGTGACTTCTGAACAGAAATCTGAGTGAGGTTAGAGAACAGGCTGTGTGAAGAGCCTCCTGGGCTTCAGGAGCAATGTGTGAAAAGACTGTGAGGTTTAGGAAGACCTAGATTCAAGTCTTCTCCCACTTAATAGTTCAGTGACCTTGGATGGACAGAATTTGCCCAATTTCTGAACCTGAGTTGCCTCATTTGTAAAATGGACCAGATCTACCTGTTCCATTCAATTGTGATTACAGTATAGTACAGTGCCTATCACACTGTAAGCATGTAATAAGCCTTACCTCTCATTTAACACCTTAGCCTCCATTCCTGAGGATTTTATCTAAAATACATTATTTTATTAAATATCTCAGCTAAATGTTTAAGAAGAATTAATATCTTATACCCACCAACTAGCTTTACCATATGTTAATCTTTTGCTACATTTGCTTCCTTTTTTAAAAGAAAAAGGTATAGGGGCGCCTGGGTGGCTCAGTCGTTAAGCATCTGCCTTCAGCTCAGGTCATGATCCCAGGGTCCTTGGATCGAGCCCCGCATCAGGCTCCCTGCTCTGAGGGAAGCCTGCTTCTCCCTCTCCCACTCCCCCTGCTTGTTTTCCCTCTCTTGCTGCGTCTCTCTCTGTCAAATAAATAAAATCTTCAAAAAAAAAGAAAAAGGTATAGATACAGTTGAGGCCTGTGTGTACTTCCCCAATCCAGTTTTCTTATCTCCTTCCTCAGTGTTAACCACTATCATGAATTTATTCGTCGTCACTGTGTACATTTGTATCTTTTTTCCTACATGTTTATGTATCCATAAGTAATATATAGTATTGTTTTTTAGGTTTTTAAATAAATAGAATTATTCCATATATATCCTTGAACATTTGCCCTTTTCATACAACATTAAAATGTATCCACGTTATTATATGTATGTGCTTCATTAATTTAGGCTGCTCTATAATCTAACATGAGCATATGTAATTTATCCATTCACCTACTGATACACATTTAGTAGATTGTTTCCAGTTTATCACTGTTAGGAGCATTGCAGCAGTGAGTGACTGACTGAAGGACATCAGGAATCATGAAACCTAGCTTTTAGATTCAGATCTGTTACTGATTAATAATGCATGTAGGCAAGTCATTAGTACTGTGTGCCTTCTTTTTTCTGGCCCTAAGATACAAATAATACACTTCATGCTAGCATTCTCATTTTCACAAGCCAGTGTTTTCAAATCATTATCTAGGACAGAGCTTCTCAATTGCAGGCTTTTTTGCCTGCCAGGGCACATTTGGCAAATTCCGGAGACATTTTTGGTTGTTAACTGGGAGACTGGCATTGGGTGGAGGTTGCTCCTGGCATCTAATGGGTAGAAACCCACAAGATTGTAAACCCACTAGATGCTAAACATCTCACAATGCACAGGATTGCTCCCCACAATAAAGAATTATCTGGACTAAAATGTCAGTAACACTGAGGTTAAGAAACTTTGACCTAGAACATTTGACCCAATCTTTAGACAATCAGCTTTAAAAGGAAATGTTGAAGCAAATCACTACTACAATTACCGGTATGTTCTTCGTACTTACACAGACACAGTAATTCCTTACAGTAATTCTGCATTTAATAGGTGACAGAACTGAGGATCAGAAAAGTCAAGTAGTTTGTCCTGATAAATAGTCTAGGCAATATTACAAACCATGCTGATTATAAACTCTTGTAATTTCATCATGAGTTCCCCTCCATGGTTAATATGTGCCCCAAAGGGTTGGGGGGTGGGGCTGAGGGACGTTAGAATAAATATTCTGCTGTTGGGATAAAAATCCACTTTAATAAGTAGTTTAAAGTTCAGTTCTGCTTAATCTGTTTGAAACCTTATGCTAGCATTTTATTGCTCTTGTGGATGCAACAGTATCCTAGACAGATGTATTCCTAAGTCTGCTCTGTGATAGTCTATTTTTGTTTTGTTCTAGTGAGGTACTACTTTGATTTTTTTTTTAAAGATTTTATTTATTTGAGAGAGGAGGGAGAGCATAAGCGAGAGAGAGTACAAGCTGGGGGGGTAGGGGGGGAGGGAAAGGGAGGAGCAGACTCCGTACTGAACAGGGAGCCCAAAGTGGGGCTTGATTCCAGAACCCTGAGATCATGACCAGAGCCAAAGGCAGATGCTTAACCAACTGAGCTACCCAGACGCCCCTGAATTTTTTTTTTTGATGTAAACTTTTCTTAGTATAATCTGACCATTCCAAGATTACTTGACCTCTTTCCTTCTTAATGCGGTACCCTTTCCCACATAAAAATATATCCAAACTTAAGAACATTACAAATAGATATAACAGACACCTAAATGCATATAAGATTTTACTGAGAGTATCTGCTACATACAGTAATAGCAAAGGGACATGATAATTGTCACTATTTTGTAACCAGTAAAATATCCTTCTTTCCTTTAAGAGTGCTACACACAATTCCCACCTACAGATAGGGTGTACCTAACAATATACTTTATATGAACAAAATAAATATTTCTGTGGTGCATCTTTTATTTAAATTGTAGTGGTTTTTAAAATGGATGCAAAATTTTATGTTCTTCCTATAAAATTTCTTCAGCTTTATAGAAGACAATAAAATAGACTTGGAAGGACCAAAATTGACCCAGCTTCCTAATGTTGCCTCTTCTGTCCCAGGAGGTTCAATACAAACACATGTGAAATCCAACTTCTCTTACTACTTATCCATCATTTAATAAATTTTCTTCTCCATAAGTAAGTTACTATTTTCAGAGTCATCCTTAATCTCATACATACACTTTTGCTCTGTAGTAATCATGGAAAACACAGTGTGGAAAATTTTATTTTAGCAAGTCATTGTGTGAGGTATACAGCTGATCAAAGAGTTATGTTCTTAAATTGGTTGTTTAGAACTTACTCTTCCTGCAGTTCCCTTTTCACACCACCTTCTCACTTCCCTAGAATTGAGTTTATTCCCTAGGACTAAAGTCGGCTCCCTAGGAATAGACTTTTCATCAGAGAATTTATAATCAGTCTTAATACAGAGGATTTAAAATAATGTGTATGTGTATAGTCTACATGTAATAGTGTATATAGACACACATACATATATACACACACGTGTACACCAACACACATATATACATATGCCCCTATATGTGGAATTGCCTTTTTTATAGGTCAGAAATGATCAAATAGGATTTATTCTGTTCCTCAGTTCTAATTACATTAGCTATAACCCATCTGAAACTTACTGATACATAGTTAAGGTTGAGAACTCCTGATTTTTCCAAATTGTTAACTGATTTTTCCAGTGCCATTTTTTAACTAAATCTTATTTTCAGTAGTGATTTAAAATAATCTTTATCATATACTGTAGTGTTACTTGCAGTAGTAGGATTGGTGTCTGGTATTACATTTCTGTTCTGTCATCCTATTTGGTTTTGCCTCAGCACCATATCGTCTTAAACTTTGTAGCTTTACAGAATTTTGAAATCACTACTCTAAGAGTGTATATTCCTCTACTTTGTCTTTCAAATTGTTTTGGTAACACTCATGCCTTTATGTTTATGTATTAATTTGTCAATTTAGGGACAATGAATATCTTTGCCTGGGATTTTTAAAATTTATTTTAGGTCTTTTAGTAACTTTATAGTTTTCTCCAGATTTTATTTCTTCTTAAGTATCTTATGTTTTTAATATTTTCACTACTATTCTACTTGGGCTCCTTTGTAATTAACTAATATATATATAAAAGCTGATGTTTCTTAAAAACATCTTTAAAATCTGTCTCTGTTCCTGGATTCTCTATATCTGATGATTTTTTACTTGACTCTCTTGAGTTTAGGTGGTAGCTATTATTATATGCAAAGAACTATTTTGTTTCTAATAGTTATAGCTGTTTTCTTTTATTGTCTTTATTGCTTATAAATCGTAATAACAGAATCCTCGTCATCTAGTAAAAAAACAATAATGCAATAGAATGAAACATAATGCAGTAAATCTTACCAAAAATATTATTATAGTATTTCAGGGTCATATAAAGTTGCTTTCAGAGAGGATCAGCAATTTAAAATTCACTGCTATTGGTCTAGTCTTTTTAGTTTAATATGTACTGGCCAGCATAGTAGCCAGTAGCCAGGTGTGACTGTTGAGTACTTGAAATGTGGCTGGACCAAATTGAGATGTGCTGTCAGTATAAAATTCATTCCTGATTTCAAGAACTTAGCACAAATAAAAATGATTTCATTAATAATTTTTAAGATATTGATTGCATATTAAAAAAAGAATAATAGGATTTATTCATTTGAAATATATTCAAATTCCTTTTTTTTTTTTAATGTGGCTACTAGATTTTGAACTGCATCATGTGGCTCACATATATCTGTTGGACAGAGCTGGTTTGATGATCACAAGTTGACTTATCATTTTACTTTTCAGATTTGTTCCTATCCTTCCATTGCCTAAAGGTGTTAAGAAGTAGGCACCAGATAATTTTCTAGTGCCTACGTGGTTGTCCAGAAACCCCACATATCCAGTGTTTGTTTCAAAGGAAAGTTCAGATAGAAAGCCAGAGAAAATACAGTGGACAATTCCCTGATAATTTTTACTGCATCGTAAGCCACCTACTTCCAAACATGAATTATTAAATGTTCAGTATGAATCTTCTCTGGGAACTTGCCAGAATACCTTTCTTCTTGGATCCTTGCAAAGACACTAGATAGAGTCTGAAGTTTTGTTGGAGTCACCTGGGTGAAACATTCTCTAGATACCAAAATAATCTTAGAACTATTTAATTCTGGGGCCAGTTTTGGTTTTGGTTTTGTTTTTATGTTCTTGCTTTTTTTTCTGTTGTATTTTTTTTATTACCTTGTTTTTGTCTTTTATAGACCTGTTCTTATACCAACTCTGTTAGGAATCTATATCTGGACAAATGTTTAACTCTAACCTACTTACTGAGGACCACCTAAATGTGATTATTTTGTCAATAATGTCAACATTTATTGAGAATTTACTATAGGCCAAGCTGATTCCAAGCATTTTACATACATTATCTCCTTTAAGTAACCATCTTTTGCAGATGGGGAAATTGAAGCTTATAGAGATTAAGTAACTTGCCCTAGGTCATACACTAGTAGGCGGAGTTTGACCCTAGTAGACAAACTTTGGATTCAAACTTAGATTTGACTCAGTACTTCCTCTCTTAAATATTGTACTATTTGGATTGATGTGCAGATGAAGTATTAGGTTGCAGACACATAATGGGCAAGGGTTTTGTAGTCATTGAATGCTCCAAAGGTGTCTTTGTGAGGTTGAGCCACGCAAAAAGTTAGAGTGAGAACATATGAAGTTTGAAAGCAAAACTTGGAAATAGAGCTTCATCCTTTGTATAGCTGCCCCTTTCATTTGAGGAAGTCTCAAGATTTTTTTCAGTGAAAACACTATAGAATATGAAAGCATATTATTTCAGGTCAGTATATTTTAGCAGTTTTCATGTTTAGTTTTAAATCATTAAGAACTCTAAAAACTCTTGGTTTCTTCCACAGGTCTAATAAATAAGGTGCCTCTGCTTTACCTTGCCAACTTTAATGCTTGGATTCTGTTAAAATTAATGTTTCCTTTATCAGTATGTGAATATTGTATGTTAATTATGTGCTGTTTCTTAATGCCTGTTTCTGCTACTTTTTTAGGGTCCTGGTTGCTGTTCTGATCTTGCAGTTTCTTTTCACTATGTTGATCCTACAACTATGTATGAGTTAGAATACCTCGTTTATCATCTTCGTCCATATGGTTATTTATACAGATATCAACCTGCCTTACCTGAGAATATACTAAAAGAAAGAAGTCGAGCATACAAAAATGAAGACCCAAAAGTAAAATGAGAACTCTTGAAAGAAAAACATAAATGAAGAGGTAAAATGTCTAGCATTGCACTGAAGAACTTCTACATTTCTGATACAGAACACTGGAATCCCAGTGAGGAATTCTTTCTAAATGAACATTCCATATTAGAAATCTTTCATATGAATGACTGTAAACTGAAGCTTTAAGTGAGCTGTGAAGTCTGTTAAAATGTGTTTTGATACAGTAATATATATATATCTGAAAAACTTGTGTTTTTAAAATGTGGCCAGGCAGAGGATCTAGAAATGAGATTTTTGTTTTCTATTCTTGACCACATGTATTATTTTCACTGAGAGACTAGAACATTTAAATTTTCTAAAACTACACTGCACATATTAATAACACAGATGATGCTAAATAGATCTGCCTTAAAGAAAATTTTAGAAGGAAACAGTGTTGCTTAATGTTATTTATAAACTCAAGACATGAGCAGTATGATATAAATGAACCAAACCCCCCCGCACAGACACTCATACATGCAGGTTTTGTCTAATGAAAATTTCCTGTGACTGTAATTGTCAGTATTTCTTCCAGACAAGGTAAAATAAGAATGGCACTTATCCTAAAGTGCATTAATAAAACCACATTTTGAAATTATATGGTCCTTGACTGTATTATATACTTTGTTCTAATTAGTAGTTAATGTTTTACTGAGTCCCCGTTGTCTCCTTTCTAAATATGTTTATCTTTGAATACAATTTTAATTATTAATATTTATTTACTCACAGCATTAATAGCATTCTATAAACATGCATTTTAAAATATTTTGTTCCCAAATTTACCCATTGTTAATTGTGGGTAATTAATAAATAGTAAATTTAATGCTATTTGGGGATGCTTTTCTTAGATCAGTTCCACTCTCAGGAATTACTAAGTGACATTTTAAATTGATTATTTAAAACTCTTTCCAACTACATAATTATAGTTCCTTTGTTACCATCCTGTTGAGAGATGAGAATTTGTGCCTTTCATAACTTGTTTAAAGCCAAGTTTAGACATTCATTTTTAGGCTCTGAGGTGGCTATTAGTTACACTGGCAAAATAATTTGAATGTACAATTTTGACGAGAGTTGACTAAAAACATTAGAAAAACAGAGTGCTTAAAGAAACTGAAATATGCCAGATATTAAAAGACCAAATACTTAATTCATGCATAACTGCCTGAATTTTGATGCTGACTTATTATTTGGGGTGGTTTTTTGTTTGTTTGTTTGGGGTTTTTTTGGTGTTCGGTTTTGCCAGTGGATAATTCTAACAGCAGAATACCCAATTCAACACTGTCGTCAAAAATATATTCATAAATATTTCATTCTAATTTTAGTGACCTATTTAAAGAATTTCTGGAAGGAAAGAAAATTTTAAGTTTTGTTTTCTTTAGTAATATTATCTGAGTATATCATAAAAGAATATTTTGCAGAATTTCTATAAGATTATCTTAAATGTTACAAATGATTTACATTGTTTATCATGCTAATTTTACATGGTTGTCATGCCATTGAATCTGCTGCTTAGCTAAAGAGTTTATATTTATTGTGCCAAAACATGTCAAAATCATGATCTCTTTGGGTGGTATGTTGAGAGGATGTTCATCTTGGTGACAATTAGTGGTAATTATGTCTTGGTGACGATTAGTGGTAATTATGTCCACACAGTGAAAAGTCACACCAGTTTTTACCTTAAATTGTCTTTCGTTGTTTTCATGACACTGTCACCTGCCAGAATTTCAAGGCATTCATTCTATTCTTTGAACAACTCTTCACCTTGGTGTGGATATGAATTTATTTATAGTCCATATATACTACTTTCTAAAAACCTTAAAATTTGCTCATAGTAAGTTAACATTGTGATGAATCCTGGGGTCTGGAGTCAGACTGCCTGGGTTTAAATTCTTGATCTATCACTTACTAGTTTTGTAACCTTGAGCAATTCACTTAATCTCTCTCTGTGCCTCAATTTTCTCATCTTAAGGGACAGTAATACTATCTACCTCACAGGATTTTTATGAGGATTAAATGAGTGCATATATGTACAACTTTTAGAATACTTGTATGGCCCAGACCATGGAGCAATAAGTATAAGGTTTTATTATTCTGTTACCTTAGAGTGTAAATATTTGTTCTAAATGAATGAAAAAAATCTGCTTTAATCAAATTAGATATTGAAGGACTTATTTCATACATTTCTTATAATAAGTAATAGCTAGTTTTTATCTAATGCCTACTGTGTGCCACGTAGTGTGCTTTAGATATTCTGTGTACATTAGTGTTAATCTTCACAAATTGGGTGTTCTTCCTATATTGTAGACGAGAAAACTGAGGCTCAGAGAATTAAAATAATTTTTCCACTGTCACAGAGCAAGTAACAGAGCCAGGATTTATGCTCAAAGCCTGTGTGTTCTTTGTACCATGTCAGCCTTGAGGTTAGTCATTTAGCACTATTTCTTTCCATTTTTACTTATTAACATGTGTGATCTCATACATCAGCCAGTAATAGACAAATTAACCAGCCAGATTGGCATAGTGACTCTCAAATTGTGGTTCTTCTACTCTTGCCTGGGAGCTTGTTAAAATGCAGATTTCAAGACTCCAGTCCCAGAAATTCTGATTCTAGCATGAGGCCCATTAGTATGCATTCTTACCAGATTCCCTTGGTCAGTGGTTCTCAAAGTGTTGTTGTTCCCAACTAGTAGTATTTGCATCATCTGGGAACTTGCAAATGCAACCTCTCCTGGGCCCCACCCCAGACCTTCTGAGTCAGAAGCTCCAGGGATAGAGGCTAGCAGCTGTCTTTTAAACAAGCCCTCCAGGTGGTCCTATTCATTCTAGTTTGGGAACCAAGACCTGGGTGATTCTGATGCAAATGATCGTTGGAATGCGCTGAAGATTTATTGCCCCTTAAGTAGGATATCTTTCAAAAGATTTAGATGAAGCATGTTTTAAATCTGTGTCCTCCAAGATCATATCATATTAAATGCGAGAGACTTTAAAGATAACTTAAAGGGTCCGTGGATCATTCATTTTTTGACAAAATTCTTTAGCTTCTTCAGATTGACTAATACCAGGGCCCACAGTAACATGTAATTCTCCAAGTTTAGTAATTTAACAATTGGGGCAGGAAGAGTTTAAGTACTAGTAAATACATAATTCATTAAAAGCATACCTAAATGAGTGTCCTCACTTGTTAGTAAAAAAATCTTTCCAGTTGTTAATAAAAAAACTTTAAATGGAGGTAGCAAAATACTGCTTTATGATATGCAGAATGTTTTTCTGCTAATTCATACTATCAAAATTTCATCACTTTCAAAATCAGTTGACTGTCCTATATGACCTAATACAGCAAAAAATTCTCCCAAGTATTCAGTAGAGAACATACAAGCAGATTTCATGATGATAACTTACCGTCTTTTAAATTAAGATCTTTGTCATTTGGATAAATTATTTTAGTGTGGTCTCAAAACATAAAGCTTTTGCTATCTTTGTTTCCCAGTAACAGTCGACTTATATTTCAAGTGAGAAGTTCATAGATGATACAAAGCAGATTTTTGTCCCAGAGTTCAGTTATTTGTTTTTAAATATCTTAAATTTCAGAGGAATTTTTGTTACTGTAAGATGATTCAAAATAAATCACTGGCCAGTTTTTAGTATTTTTTGAAATACGGTAATTGCATTTCAGCATTAAATTTGTTAACTGATTATTTTCATAATTGTTTCTTGAGTATTAATTTTTCACTTCCTTGAGCCTATTGAACTATAGTATTTCCAGGTTGAGACTTGAAAAAAAAATGCCTCACTTTATTGATTAGATCAAGTCTATCCTTTTGTTCTTCATTTAATTCAGTTCATTAGAGTATTCTATCTTTGACAGTTTCTTCTTCTTTGTATTTGTTGCCCTTTATTTTCTTTACAACTAATTTCCATTTCCTAACTACCCCTAATGCTGCTTTTGCAAGGTTAATTTGGCTGTAATTAGTGATTAGAATTTGTATCACTAATAATTTTATACCTATTTAACTTTAGATTTCCCTAGGAGATTGGAAGTAAAAAATCTAAGAATAATGCCTGCTGGCTCTCAGGATATTTGCCCTACTTAAAAGTCTGCAGTTTTAAAAAAATTCTAGATATACAATTAGTAAATGAACTAAAGTTATTTGGATTCCATTTCCTCTACACCTTTTTCTCAAAAACAAACCAAAAAAACTCATTTGCCTCATTTCTCTATTGTAGGGCTGACAGAAACATTCTTAAGCAATCTGGGGGACAACCTGTGGTTTATTTTATGCTAAATGTAACCTCTATTGATTTAAGAATATGACTTACGTTTATATATTGGAGTTGAAATAGAAGTTTTAATACAGATTAGAGTAAAAAAACTTTACAAATTCTCTCTAGAGAAACCAACTCTAAAACTAGTTTCAGAAGTGAATAGTGCTCTGTCTCAACTCCTTTTACCTCTCTAGTTTTTAGTTTATATCAGTTCAGTTTAAATAACTTTGCAGGGCCCTAGTAATTAATATTCCATATACAGTATTTATTAGAGGGAAACTAATCTTACTGCTAAGCAGTGTGTTATATTACACAGTGAATATTTGTGTTTTGGAATTTAAAAGTTATGTAAGGTAGTAGTGTTATGAATGGTTTAAAAATGTGTGGTGACTTGCTTATTTTAAGTGATCCACCAATAAGTCAGAAAAGATGTATTTTTAAATGTTTTTAAAGTGCCTTTTGAACATTTTTAAACAATGGATTTAAACAACCGCATAAAATAAATTACCATGTTTAAAGCTGTTTTATCTGATTATTTTTAACTGATATAAGAGTTATGGGAGACACTAAGGGGTAGTTTTGGGGTTATTTTGCCAAAAGTATTAATTTAAAGTATTTTCCCATCAAAGTTACTCAATTTGAATAGGCTTAAGTAATTTTTACTGCAATATGTATCATTTGTCTTTAAAGCAGCAAAATATTCCACCTCTGATTTAGAATAATAACCTTTGAAAAATTAGAAACACTCTGTCATCCAGGTAAGTGAGTGTATGTGTACATGGTGGGGGATGTTTTTCTATCTCTTGGTATATTTTGATCTATCATGTACACTGGAATTCATTTATTCAACTGATTATTCAAATAATATTCAAATAATGCCTAGTATCTACTAGAAATACAGTGGTGAGCAATACCTATAGGATTTCTGTTCTCATAGAGCCTCATATACTTCAAAAGTTATTTATATTTATGAGGTTCTTTGCCCCTACTGGGTAAAAAAAAAATAATAACTTTCCACCTTTGCTTAATTATGCTCTGGGCTTATGTAAAGACTCAGTGAAATGCATTTGATAGGCCAGAAACTTTGTGGTTTTAGGTATATTTCATCCATAGCTCAGGTCTATCTATTGATATTAGATCAGTCTGGTACTTTTAAGATAGAAATAAAAATTGACCTACCTCTTCCTTAAGCAGTTGATTGCAGCTGTTCATAAGGTCCTTGAGTCTAGCCTGTCTGCCTCAGTTTTCAGTAACATGCCACCCAATATGTTCCTTATTAGTGCATATGTACATGTATGTGTGTATATGTATATATATACACACTGTCGTTTGGATTCACCAGCTTTAGA